CAGCAGCGTCTCCAACACAGACACACACACTGACACAACAACAACCGCCATTCGCCACTAAGTGGCGGTGACGTCACCACGACGCTTGTGCCAGGCTATGTGCACCCTGAGGCCACGTGAAGTGTCGAACGCCCGCTGGCAGGAGGTCACGGGGCAGACCCAGGTGCCACGGGTCGACTGACTGAGATGACTGACACACACACACTGACATACACACTGACACACACGCACACACTGACATACACACTGACACACACGCACACACTGACACACACAGACAATGACACACACACACTGACAGATGGAGGTGGCTGACCTTTAGATGGAGTCCGAATGAGTCCAGATGTTGCAGAGACTCCATGTTGCTCTTCACCAGGTCTAGACTCACACCACAGGGGGAGAGCGGTGGGTTGGTGGGAGAGAGTATGTGTGATGGTGAGTCTATGGGTCTCTGTGTGATGGTGAGTCTATGGGTCTCTGTGTGATGGTGAGTCTATGTGTCTCTGTGTGGTGGTGAGTCTATGGGTCTCTGTGTGATGGTGAGTCTTTGGGTCTCTGTGTGGTGGTGAGTCTTTGGGTCTCTGTGTGGTGGTGAGTCTATGGGTCTCTGTGTGGTGGTGAGTCTTTGGGTCTCTGTGTGGTGGTGAGTCTGTGGGTCTCTGTGTGGTGGTGAGTCTATGGGTCTCTGTGTGATGGTGAGTCTATGGGTCTCTGTGTGGTGGTGAGTCTATGGGTCTCTGTGTGGTGGTGAGTCTTTGGGTCTCTGTGTGGTGGTGAGTCTGTGGGTCTCTGTGTGGTGGTGAGTCTGTGGGTCTCTGTGTGGTGGTGAGTCTACGGGTCTGTGTGGTGGTGAGTCTATCGGTCTCTGTGTGGTGGTGAGTCTATCGGTCTCTGTGTGGTGGTGAGTCTATGGGTCTCTGTGTGGTGGTGAGTCTATGGGTCTCTGTGTGATGGTGAGTCTATGGGTCTCTGTGTGGTGGTGGTGAGTCTATGGGTCTCTGTGTGGTGGTGAGTCTATGGGTCTCTGTGTGATGGTGAGTCTATGGGTCTCTGTGTGGTGGTGGTGAGTCTATGGGTCTCTGTGTGATGGTGAGTCTACGGGTCTCTGTGTGGTGGTGAGTCTACGGGTCTCTGTGTGATGGTGAGTCTATGGGTCTCTGTGTGATGATGAGTCTATGGGTCTCTGTGTGATGATGAGTCTATGGGTCTCTGTGTGGTGGTGATGAGTCTATGGGTCTCTGTGTGGTGGTGATGAGTCTATGGGTCTCTGTTTGGTGGTGGTGAGTCTATGGGTCTCTGTGTGATGGTGAGTCTACGCGTCTCTGTGTGGTGGTGGTGAGTCTATGGGTCTCTGTGTGGTGGTGAGTCTACGGGTCTCTGTGTGGTGGTGGTGAGTCTATGGGTCTCTGTGTGGTGGTGGTAAGTCTATGGGTCTCTGTGTGATGGTGAGTCTATGGGTCTCTGTGTGGTGGTGGTGAGTCTATGGGTCTCTGTGTGATGGTGAGTCTATGGGTCTCTGTGTGATGATGAGTCTACGGGTCTCTGTGTGGTGGTGAGTCTATGGGTCTCTGTGTGATGATGAGTCTATGGGTCTGTGTGTGATGATGAGTCTATGGGTCTCTGTGTGGTGGTGATGAGTCTATGGGTCTCTGTGTGGTGGTGATGAGTCTATGGGTCTCTGTGTGGTGGTGGTGAGTCTACGGGTCTCTGTGTGATGGTGAGTCTACGCGTCTCTGTGTGGTGGTGGTGAGTCTATGGGTCTCTGTGTGGTGGTGAGTCTATGGGTCTCTGTGTGGTGGTGGTGAGTCTGTGGGTCTCTGTGTGGTGGTGGTGAGTCTGTGGGTCTCTGTGTGATGGTGAGTCTATGGGTCTCTGTGTGGTGGTGGTGAGTCTATGGGTCTCTGTGTGATGGTGAGTCTATGGGTCTCTGTGTGGTGATGAGTCTACGGGTCTCTGTGTGATGGTGAGTCTATGGGTCTCTGTGTGATGATGAGTCTATGGGTCTCTGTGTGATGATGAGTCTATGGGTCTCTGTGTGGTGGTGATGAGTCTATGGGTCTCTGTGTGGTGGTGATGAGTCTATGGGTCTCTGTGTGGTGGTGGTGAGTCTACGGGTCTCTGTGTGATGGTGAGTCTACGCGTCTCTGTGTGGTGGTGGTGAGTCTATGGGTCTCTGTGTGGTGGTGAGTCTACGGGTCTCTGTGTGGTGGTGGTGAGTCTACGGGTCTCTGTGTGGTGGTGGTGAGTCTATGGGTCTCTGTGTGGTGATGAGTCTATGGGTCTCTGTGTGGTGGTGGTGAGTCTATGGGTCTCTGTGTGATGGTGAGTCTATGGGTCTCTGTGTGGTGGTGAGTCTACGGGTCTCTGTGTGATGGTGAGTCTATGGGTCTCTGTGTGATGATGAGTCTATGGGTCTCTGTGTGATGATGAGTCTATGGGTCTCTGTGTGGTGGTGATGAGTCTATGGGTCTCTGTGTGGTGGTGGTGAGTCTATGGGTCTCTGTGTGGTGGTGGTGAGTCTACGGGTCTCTGTGTGATGGTGAGTCTACGCGTCTCTGTGTGGTGGTGGTGAGTCTATGGGTCTCTGTGTGGTGGTGAGTCTACGGGTCTCTGTGTGGTGGTGGTGAGTCTATGGGTCTCAGTGTGGTGGTGGTGAGTCTATGGGTCTCTGTGTGATGGTGAGTCTATGGGTCTCTGTGTGGTGGTGGTGAGTCTATGGGTCTCTGTGTGATGGTGAGTCTATGGGTCTCTGTGTGGTGATGAGTCTATGGGTCTCTGTGTGGTGATGAGTCTATGGGTCTCTGTGTGGTGGTGATGAGTCTATGGGTCTCTGTGTGATGGTGAGTCGACGGGTCTCTGTGTGGTGGTGGTGAGTCTATGGGTCTCTGTGTGGTGGTGAGTCTATGGGTCTCTGTGTGGTGGTGAGTCTATGGGTCTCTGTGTGGTGGTGAGTCTATGGGTCTCTGTGTGGTGGTGGTGAGTCTATGGAGCTCTGTGTGGTGGTGATGAGTCTATGGGTCTCTGTGTGGTGGTGAGTCTATGGGTCTCTGTGTGGTGGTGAGTCTATGGGTCTCTGTGTGATGGTGAGTCTATGGGTCTCTGTGTGGTGGTGAGTCTACGGTTCTCTGTGTGGTGGTGAGTCTATGGGTCTCTGTGTGGTGGTGAGTCTATGGGTCTCTGTGTGATGATGAGTCTATGGGTCTCTGTGTGATGGTGAGTCTATGGGTCTCTGTGTGATGATGAGTCTATGGGTCTCTGTGTGATGGTGAGTCTACGGGTCTCTGTGTGGTGGTGATGAGTCTATGGGTCTCTGTGTGGTGGCGAGTCTATGGGTCTCTGTGTGGTGGTGATGAGTCTATGGGTCTCTGTGTGGTGGTGGTGAGTCTACGGGTCTCTGTGTGATGGTGAGTCTACGCGTCTCTGTGTGGTGGTGGTGAGTCTATGGGTCTCTGTGTGGTGGTGAGTCTATGGGTCTCTGTGTGGTGATGAGTCTATGGGTCTCTGTGTGGTGGTGGTGAGTCTATGGGTCTCTGTGTGATGGTGAGTCTATGGGTCTCTGTGTGGTGGTGAGTCTACGGGTCTCTGTGTGGTGGTGAGTCTACGGGTCTCTGTGTGATGGTGAGTCTACGGGTCTCTGTGTGGTGGTGGTGAGTCTATGGGTCTCTGTGTGATGGTGAGTCTATGGGTCTCTGTGTGATGGTGAGTCTATGGGTCTCTGTGTGATGGTGAGTCTACGGGTCTCTGTGTGGTGGTGAGTCTACGGGTCTCTGTGTGATGGTGAGTCTATGGGTCTCTGTGTGGTGGTGGTGAGTCTATGGGTCTCTGTGTGATGGTGAGTCTATGGGTCTCTGTGTGGTGATGAGTCTATGGGTCTCTGTGTGGTGGTGATGAGTCTATGGGTCTCTGTGTGATGGTGAGTCGACGGGTCTCTGTGTGGTGGTGGTGAGTCTATGGGTCTCTGTGTGGTGGTGAGTCTATGGGTCTCTGTGTGGTGGTGAGTCTATGGGTCTCTGTGTGGTGGTGAGTCTTTGGGTCTCTGTGTGGTGGTGAGTCTGTGGGTCTCTGTGTGGTGGTGAGTCTATGGGTCTCTGTGTGATGGTGAGTCTATGGGTCTCTGTGTGGTGGTGAGTCTATGGGTCTCTGTGTGGTGGTGAGTCTTTGGGTCTCTGTGTGGTGGTGAGTCTGTGGGTCTCTGTGTGGTGGTGAGTCTGTGGGTCTCTGTGTGGTGGTGAGTCTACGGGTCTGTGTGGTGGTGAGTCTATCGGTCTCTGTGTGGTGGTGAGTCTATCGGTCTCTGTGTGGTGGTGAGTCTATGGGTCTCTGTGTGGTGGTGAGTCTATGGGTCTCTGTGTGATGGTGAGTCTATGGGTCTCTGTGTGGTGGTGGTGAGTCTATGGGTCTCTGTGTGGTGGTGAGTCTATGGGTCTCTGTGTGATGGTGAGTCTATGGGTCTCTGTGTGGTGGTGGTGAGTCTATGGGTCTCTGTGTGATGGTGAGTCTACGGGTCTCTGTGTGGTGGTGAGTCTACGGGTCTCTGTGTGATGGTGAGTCTATGGGTCTCTGTGTGATGATGAGTCTATGGGTCTCTGTGTGATGATGAGTCTATGGGTCTCTGTGTGGTGGTGATGAGTCTATGGGTCTCTGTGTGGTGGTGATGAGTCTATGGGTCTCTGTGTGGTGGTGGTGAGTCTACGGGTCTCTGTGTGATGGTGAGTCTACGCGTCTCTGTGTGGTGGTGGTGAGTCTATGGGTCTCTGTGTGGTGGTGAGTCTACGGGTCTCTGTGTGGTGGTGGTGAGTCTATGGGTCTCTGTGTGGTGGTGGTAAGTCTATGGGTCTCTGTGTGATGGTGAGTCTATGGGTCTCTGTGTGGTGGTGGTGAGTCTATGGGTCTCTGTGTGATGGTGAGTCTATGGGTCTCTGTGTGGTGATGAGTCTACGGGTCTCTGTGTGATGGTGAGTCTATGGGTCTCTGTGTGATGATGAGTCTATGGGTCTCTGTGTGATGATGAGTCTATGGGTCTCTGTGTGGTGGTGATGAGTCTATGGGTCTCTGTGTGGTGGTGATGAGTCTATGGGTCTCTGTGTGGTGGTGGTGAGTCTACGGGTCTCTGTGTGATGGTGAGTCTACGCGTCTCTGTGTGGTGGTGGTGAGTCTATGGGTCTCTGTGTGGTGGTGAGTCTATGGGTCTCTGTGTGATGATGAGTCTATGGGTCTCTGTGTGATGGTGAGTCTATGGGTCTCTGTGTGATGATGAGTCTATGGGTCTCTGTGTGATGGTGAGTCTACGGGTCTCTGTGTGGTGGTGATGAGTCTATGGGTCTCTGTGTGGTGGCGAGTCTATGGGTCTCTGTGTGGTGGTGATGAGTCTATGGGTC